GAGTGAGTGAGCATTAAGATGGAATCCATGGACTAGACTTTACACTGTGGTTGCTGGCCAGAAGCTGCTGCAATGTATAATCATTCCTGAAAACGAAACTGGCATTAGACTGCCCAGTATTGGAGAGGAAATTGAATATTTCCTAATAACTGTGTAAGGACAATACTTCTGTGATGGATCCATTGCATATGAGATGGAATCTCATACCTTGAATAATCTATTACTAATGGATCTGGTTGTAATAAGATGTTACTTTGCTTTGATGAACAAAAATAATACCTATGTGAGTAGGTAGACAAGAAATCATGAAGTTAGAGCCCAGCCCATTTGGTTTAGGTCAGAATTCTATTTATTTGAAATATTCAAACAAAGCAAAAGGATTATTAATATAGTACTGTGACTCCTACAACTTAGTATAGCTATTAATTTAGTTTGAGATTCTTTTGCACTTGTGGGTAGCTGCATTGTAGGTTTAATTCAAGTAGGACAGAAGCCCTGGAAAAGGGAGTAGGTCACCTTTCCACATTCCAGATACCCACCCCCAAACCACCCTGCATCTTCCCCCCCCCCCCCCCCCCCCACCAAAGAAGCCCCTCCCCGCCCCTGCCCCTACCAGCCTGGCAGACATCCCAGTGATTTGGAAAATTTTGACTAAAATAATGTTGTCATGGGACCCCAATGTGACAGTCCTGCTGCACTGTGAAGACATGCCATCGTCAGCTGAAGAGTGGGAGGGGCAGTGGGGGAAATAGCAGTTTTGTTTACAGTCCAGATTCTACTGTTCTTCCTGAAGGAACCCTTCATGTAGGTGCATACACTAAGCTGTTAGAAAATGCACCATTTTGTTTACTGAAGAACTGCAGATCTAGTTACAAACTGTTTTGCACTGATCTTAAAAATAAACAGAATTAGACACTGGCTATTCACCAAAATGTAATCACATCGAACAAGAATTCATTTGAGGTTTTAACCACCAGGTGATGAGCCATTTCACCAATTCAGGGATGGCTATTCAGGGACTTGAGTTCCAGTTGTTTAAGCATCTTTATTGAAATTTTATTTTTGTTGCCCATGTTATCGATTTTGTTGTAACTTGGTATAGTTCTCACATTTTTGTACTGTCTTTTCTCCCTGTTCTCAGAAAAAGTGCAATTCTCTACCATTTTGCACACCCGAAAAGCCATTCCATCAACCCACCATCATTTTGTTTAAACCTGAGGAGAATTTTCTCTTACTGAAGGATATTGTAATTGTTTTCCAAAACAATTTATTAGTTTCCTTGCAAATTGTTAACCGCATCTTGAGTAACTTTCTCGTCATTCAAACTAAATTCTAAACTCAGCTGGCAGTTTGTATTTGCAATATTTATTACGCTGCCTTCACCTTGAATAAGGTGATCAGTTAGTTGTCTAACTACAGTTTGTGTAGCTCTGAAAACAAAATTCTGTTGATGTTTAAGAAAAATTCTTCCTCTTGCTGCCTAATGGGTCAAAGACAGATTGTGTGGGGAGTGCTAACTTGAAATCATTTGTTGTTGTATTTATTTCATATGCTGACGCCCAGGTCACTCATCTTTTACCCACAGTATGCATAATTTGCCCTAGCATTCTTAATAGATCTCCTGCAGCTCCAGGTTTGGAAAGAGCAGTGAGATTTATGTTCCAAATTTGCAGATGGAAAGTGCTGCCACAAGTTGTTTGCCCAAGGGTTGGAGACCGGAAGGATTACCACCATAAGCATTCGTATACCCATTTCCTAGCAGTGGTTTGAAATGTCCAGTATTTGATTTATTTGGTGGCTGGTACATGTTTGTAGGGTCCTGTAATGTCACTGATGGGTTCTTCTGCTAATGTCAGTCAGTGTAATCTGTTTGTATTGCTGCTGAAGCGGTTTTGTAGCCATGCAGTAAAAAGCAGATTGAAAACTTCTACTGGAGTGAACCACTGCCATGTCAATACAGTAGAATGTATAGTTTTCAAACAGAACAACAGTAGTCATAAATCCCAAACTGGTGGTCACTTTTCTGTGTGTACTGCAACTCTATGGCACATGCTGTTTTCCAGGTTCCAAGCAAAAAAGGAGGAAACCAGACAAAATGCTGTGATATGCTGGCTCTGCATTGCTCAAGAGTTCTGCATATCTCTAGTGGTGCATGAATGTTGTGGATCATGTTATCTAAATGTTGATGCATTACGAAGTGGTCCAAGCTATTCCCAGGCCCAAACTGCAGTACAACTGACAAAGGGTTCTCTCACTAGGACCTAGAGTTCACTGGAAAACCTTTCTTCAGCACCACGATTTGCTGTGGGGGAACAAAGTCATGTTTACAGTTTAATTTTCTTTACATATTGAAAGTGTTCAAATAAGCTTTTTTGTTTACTTTGTTCTGTGAATGTTGTACAAAAGAGTGGTGCAGACCTAAATGTAGATCATAAACTTTGTATGCAATAATAAAAGACAAATTAACCATGGATGATTTCTTGTACATCTGGAGAACTGAGATGAAAGATTATTAGGAAATATTCATGACACCTTTCATTCATACTAGTTAAAGCTTCTGTGCTTGGAGTACAGGCAAACTTTGATACAAGGGTAAATGCCATGAGCCCAAGTCTAAAGAGCGAAGGACTCGTTGCAGCACTCAACCTAGCACGTGATTTAGATTGATTGCAACAAAATTAAGTGGGAGATTTTTGACTATGTGATAGAATTTTAGCTGATGCGTGTGTCTATGCACATAATACAGTTCTGCTTGGAGTGTGACTGTGTGTCTCTGCAATGTAATTCTGCCCAGTTTTGAATGTGAATCTAGGTTCCTATTGATGTATTGCACTGGTGAGGTGCAGTAACAATGATATCTATTGAGGTAGTTATGGA